TAGTAATATTAGGATGGGATTTGATTTATTTTTCTTTTCTTGAAAACTTCTTAAGAACTAATCCTCAATTACAGCTATTCATGTAAAATAGTCCTAATCGTTAAATTTGGTTTGACACAGATTGTGAATAAAATCTGTTGATTCTTTTCCATCAAGTACAACATCTTGAATCATATTTATTGCAATAAATACCATCTATTTAAAAATAGTCTTAAAATGAATAATTTAATTTTGGATGATGATACAAATGGTATTTAACCCTTTTGCTCCCAGAGACAGGCTTTGACTTGATTTTATGTGGTTGTAACTTATTTGGATAAAACTCTTCTGTAATGTAAGCTGTCAAGCAGCACTTTCATGTTTTACTCTTTGTTTTTGTTGATTCTGCACATTAAAATTCAAAGATGTCTTCTCAAATTTTGACCTAGCACTCTTGGGAGTGAAGGGGTTAATTACAGTTAAATAGAATTGATTTTTAATCTGTAACAATAAATTAGAATGAAGTTATCCTAAACTGCAGACTTAGCTGCTGTTTGTCTTTTTTTTCCTGGGCTCACAGCTTTCCCTGTTGGCCTTGAAAGGGGTTGTCTACAAGAAGCTTGACCATTTTGTATCTGGATTCCATGACATCTGAATTTGAAAAAATATATATTTATATAAATATATATTAAAAGCTAAGAGAAGGCCTTCGATAGCTATAAAGGAAAAGGGCATTCATTGAAATCTCAACTTAACAAAGTGCACTGAGATTGGGAAATCTCTGTTGTATTGAATGACTTTTATATTGGAGTTCCCATAGATATTACTAAAAAGGGCTGAACATATTATTTTGTTTTTTACCAAGGAGGGCTTTCTTATGTAATAGGGTTTGTTTAATCACAGTTTGTATTATGAATCTTGAATGTTCCCAAACGTGACTAAAGTAATCTTGAAACCTTACTGATATATTTATTTTATTGTAAAGCATAAGCTTAAGAAACTGCGGCATGCAAGTGCACGATTCGATTCTCAGAATTATTCTAGTTTCAGTTGCGCCGAGCGTTATGTAAGCTTAATTCAAGCCGTTATATCTATTCTTTAATAAGATTTTGATCACGTAACGAATACTGCAATTTCTACTCACCACAAACTTTCAAAATCGTAGCTTTATAAATGGCCACTCAACCTTTGTTTGTACCAGTCAATGTGTCAACTGTTGTCCCTTCTTTTAACTCCACGGCGCCAACGACTTTCTTTTCATTTACAACACTCACGGTGTTCTCGTTTTCCCATTGAGCCACAATAAAACCTATCTTTAGAAATGTTATATTAAGCAAAACAGTTGAGAAAAGAAATAACTTAACACACGTGCGATCAACCGATGAAAAGTACATTCAAAGATGAGCGCCAAATGGAGTCTTCTTTGTTTCCGATCACGGACATGATCACGTGGACCTTATAGGACTTGTCATTGGCTAGCAAAGTGAATCCGCTGGCTTTCCCGATGGCAGTCTCCAGAGAAGTGCACAACTTTATTCTGACTTCTGAGACTGGTTGCATACTTCTGGATGATGGATACCTTGGATCCATGTTCTGATGGTGATATAAATAATGATGTGAGCTCACTCTATGTAGAAATAATCGACAAGAATCTATCGTATTACAAATGCACGATTTGTGGCCGAAAGTTGTCGAGGAAACAAAGACTCGAAACTCACTTAAGTTGTGTTGTGGCAGAGGTGAAAAGTAACACAAGCCAATCAATTTTGAATGCGATTACAAATCGTCTCTTACCCTCATTTTTATAAAAGAAGGATACCACTTTTGGAAGAATAAGAGATAATCAATCAATCTGAACGATAAACCCGTATATGTAGCACAAATGAAGCACACTTTAAACTCTCCATACGATTTTAGGAAACTATACTTAGTTGACCCTCGATAAATTGGCATAACCCGTTGATTATTTTATTACTTTGTAGCTCCAAAAGCAACTTGATAAATTTAATAAACAAGGCACCCTTCAAGGAGGAAGGTTAGAATAAAATTGCTTTTGCGACCTTATATTGCACCCGGTTTACATATGTGGATAAGAGCACAAAAAATACCTTTTATACTGTAGCTGTATTCATAAGATAGACATGTAGGTAATATGCTTCGGCTTCATTTTATTGTAATATGTTTCCTTTTATGTAACATATATCCACTCCTTTAATTTCCTCCCCAACCCGAATTCAAGTGTGAGAAGATGAAATAGAAGTGTTGCAGAGTTCTCTTTCTAGATTGAATTCAGGTGAGAACATCAGCAAATTAGTTAATGTCATATGCTTCTCATGAATCTTTAATTTCATTGCCCTGGTTTTTTTCACAAAGCCTTTTTTAGATCTCCATATGCCAGCTAATGATTAAAATCTCAGTAAATAGATAAGCCATATTTTAATTACTTTTTTTTTAAATTTACATCTTTAAGTTTTTGGCATTTACTATTTTAAAATTAATAAATGGCATTCCCTTTTCATCCTTTTAAAGAGATACTACACATTTCTTCAACTAAAATCTGAATCATGAAGACAACTTATTTTCATTGAGTTTGAAACTTCACTATACGTAAGAACACTTTACTGGAGTATTATGTTATATCTATTTGCTGTGTTTCTCGTACATATGACTACATATGTGTCTTAAAATATCATATTGTAATGATAAAATATACTTGTCATTACAATAGTAAAAAAATTTGATGAGATTATGATCTTATGAAACAACAATGGAAAAACCTGTTGCTGGTACCTTGATATGTCTTTATTGTTTAAATTTTCATGGGAAATGCCTTTTTTTGAAAGCAGAGATACAGAGGTTTTCTAAGCTGCTAGAAATAAGCTGTTTGCAATTAATGAAAAGCAAATTGAGAATCATACCTTAATGCTTGACATGCTTCACTCATTATAGAGGTGTCTCTATAAATATTTTTTGGTATTTCTGTTGTTCTTTGTTGATCTTTATGGCCAAAAAAGCTACTGAAGGCACTGAACTTCAACTGCAATCACATATTCAAGCATTACTCTACATTTATAACACTGATTACATGATGTCTCTAATAACTGTACACATTTTACATGCTCCTTGCATTTGTTGGCAGCAATGGTTAAGATTGTTAGGACAGCAAATAAACAAATAAACAGAAGACAGTGAAATGAGGGAAAATGTGAACTTTACCACATGATAGAAAAAAGATCACAAAATACTTAAGAAGGGAAACTTGAATTGTGCCAGCTAAATTTCCTCTACTGTCCTTCATTTTTTTGATCAAATAAAATCTAATAAATTGTAGGGTTTGCTAACAATGTGTCAAATCACCAATGTGGACTTGATTCTTCTCAGATCTCAGCTGGTAAAAGATAGATACTAAAAGCAGCTAACCATAAGAAAAAGTACACATTGTCCAAAAAAATTTCACTAAAGTGGTGGTGTGATTGTTTTTTGATATTTAGAATGATTGAAGCAGGAAATACACATTGAGGCTTTTCCTTTTCACCAGAAGGTTAATTAGTTTTTGATTCTACATTCAAACTGGGTGAGATTAAATTTTTCATATCATGCTTCATTATGGTTTGTTTACACAGAAAGGTAATTGTTATTGTAGCTTCACAGACATTTTTGTTGTGGTCACAGTTAACATTGAATGACAAAGTTTCATTTAACATAGCATGTTTTAAGAACTTTCTTCATTTCTCTTCAATCGCATTTACTATACCTGGAGCACAATTAAAGGAAGCAGGCTATATTAAAAAACTATAACTTTTGATTCAGGTAATTATTTGAGTATGTGAGTAACATTTGATGTTTTCACATGTAACAGGATGATCAACTTGAAGATAGCCTTTAAAAAGAGTGAACTTGATTGTAACAATTAGGTGACTAATTTGGAAAGTTAAGCACTTGGTAAATACATGTACAACCAAAGTTTATATTCTTTTGAATATTCTTAGATCTCCTAATATCAGTTAGTATCCATGTAATGAAAATAATTACATGAAATCTTGCAGATGTATGGCACATTTTTTCCTTTGATCCTTCTACCATTTTATCATGTGTAGGGATAGGTAAAGGTATGGTCAAATTAAAGTTTTGTACACAGCCTATACATCAAATTTTTGTAATAAAATATTGTATTCCTCTTATGAAACTAGTTTACCAGAATAAGAATGTTACCAGGCACAAGTATGGCTTTTCATGATGATTTAAGTTTCCAGGTTTGGAAAAAGTCACTGCCCACTTGAATCCTCAGTTCCTTTTCCCTGACAGCCTAACCTCATCAATCGTTGGCAAAAGGAGCGATTAGCAAATTAATGATACCGACAAGAGAGCCTATTCCCCTTGCGAACTGAATTCCAAGTTTTCTGGGAATTCTCAAAAATTCCCAACCATGCAAGTAAGCTCTGATTTTAAAAGCTTGGAATTACTGGGAATTTCTGGGAAAGGAAGACTCCAGTTTTGTGAGGACTTGGAATCCTGAGAAAAGGAATGCAAGAAAGGTGCAATTCTTAGGAATTTCTGGGAATTGAATTTGGTTTCTCTGAATATTCGCCAAAATGTAGACTCAACTGAGGAACAAAGGCTGAGTCTCTTCGTTTCTCTTCGTTATCCTGAATCTTGAACCGTCAAAGGTCTGAGATGTCGCCGTCTACCGTCAAAATAGAATTGTTTTATCCACACTGTCAGCAACTAACTTCCAATCACAATAGACACGATGGGAAGGATTCAGGACAGTAAGACAGCATTTCGGATAACAGCTATTGACCTTACCTGTTCAAGGCGGATCAGTGTGATCTTCCATCTTTGGGATTTTTTGAAATATTGTCTCCTCGTTGACGTAGTTTAGCTTTTCGTTACACTCGAGAGTCAAGAGATAAAGTGCACTCATTTAATTTTTTCGATATTTCAAAGCGACTAAAACTGATAAACACAAAAATTCGAATGAAAAGGGAGGTTTGAAAAAGAGAAACGATAACCAGCTTGGCTAAAAACAATAAAAGGTTATTAATTAAGGTACATATTCTTGATTACATATTCTTGAAAACATTCTCTAGATATGTATTTGAAAGCGATCTATTCAAAGTTAGGCCTGCAGTCTTTAAGAGACTGCACACTGTAAAATTGTAGGCTAACAAAAGAGTTGCGTAAATTTTAGGCAAAATTGCTCAGGAGTTAGATTAGAATGTTTATTTTTATCAGAGGTTGCAATGAAAGCACTCGTAACTGCCGTAAGACATTTCTTGAACTACATATGTAATTGCTGCTTGATGTGGAGGCAAGTAAGCAATGCAGGCTTTGGTTGTTCAAAGGGTGGATAACGCTTTCTTATTGGATAAATTCCTAACCGGTGGATTGCGCAGTACGGTTTATACATACTTTTCCACTGGATAGTGATTTTATCCGTTTGATAGCGTTCTCTGTCCTTTGAGCAGCTGGACTCGGAAGAATAGCTTTTATTTAGAAGGAGTCTTCTTGTTCGACCATGTCTTCAGGCTGAACGTAAGCATTTCTTCTGCTTAGCTGTTCATCTTGGGTTGTGTACAGGTCTCCAACCTTGTTTCTGTTTATGAACCGTCGTGCAATGCGGTACTTGACAAATAAAACAGCCAATGCAGCAACTGCAACCAGAGCAAATCCTCCAGCACCTGCTACGCCACCTATCAGCGCAGTTTGCTTGTTTTGACCAGTTTCTGAAATTTGAGTGCAGGAGAGGAATCACAGCTCAAATGAAGACCGAAGATAGGGAAACATTTAAAATTGAAAATATAACTCAATCTCATTTTTCTTATTTCTGTTAATGAAATTAGTTGAAGAAAAGAGAGAGGGAAACAACTTAATATTTATAAGCAAGAAACTAAAATCAACTGTCAACTTGATCTAAAATCGCCTTAGTTTACCTATTTTCAAAATCCTTCAATACTCATATTTTTCTTTTTGACAATAGAGAAAGTGAAAATGCGACTTACATATTAGGACCTGAATTTCCTTTTTTAAGTTGTGTTTTGTGTCATCATTATTATTTCTGAACCAGTGACAAACTAGGAAAATTTGAAATTTAGGCAAGACAGCGTTGTTGACATGTTTAACATAAGCTCTGCAGTATTTGAGAAAACCTTTTCTATTTCAATCCCTTATCTTTTCACATTATATGTGAACTTGCCTCCTGGTTCTTCGTCCTGTTGAATGATCAGTGGTCCTCGTGTAAGAGTGACTTTGGTAGTACTCTCTTCATGTTCTGTTTCGTCACGGGTAACATCCCTCCGCTTTCTCTTCTTACTGCCTAAACAACTTTGGGTGCACCTGTCAAGGTTGTTGAAGAAGATTTGAATTAGCTTCTAACGCCTTTGTTATATTGTGAGTGACGAAATGATATTGCACTCAAATTTCTCAAGGGTGGCTGTGATGTTTGTCAGTGATAAATGTTTATTCGGCATCTTCTTGCCTACAGTGTTGCTGGGACAAATTGGTCTAGTTCGATAAAATGTTTACTTTTGCTTCATAATCTTAATTCAACTATTCAATTTGAGTTTTATAGAACAATAATTAATCGTTCGTGTCACTCTTCATAGTAAGGATCTCAATTGTATCGCCGGATTGCAGCGATGAATAACAATATTTCCTGTCTCATTAAAGAATAATGTTAAGTGATGGTGAGGTTCCTTGGCTATTTGTTGGTGTCACTGATTGTTTTGATGTTGTCCTGCAATGATGTAGGTCGGTAAGGGAGAGGCTGTGGCATCTTCAGTTTGATATGCATTTTGTACTAGTAAAGGTAGCCAATTGCAAACGTTAACGAAGCAATTCCAGTTGAGTATCGAAGGGAAAAAATAAAGTACTTGAGCTAAACCAGTTGTAACTGACTTGTGATGTGTCTCTATTTACGGGCCGTTATCATGTAACTTTTTCAGATTGGGCCCTGTGATCACTTCGATTTACCTTCACTCTCAAGATACCATTACTTATTCTCCTTACTGTCTGCCATATTATTCTCACTATGTTTGTTTAGAGAATTTGGTAGTAGATCAACTAATCATGCCCTCATAGGTATTTTTCTTTATTGTTATCACTTGTCTGCTTGACATTGTATTGATACCATAGTGAACAATTCTGTCTTGGTCACACATGGGAGCTAAAGGATCAACAGGTTTGTTAACCACACTAATGTGGGAGACATAATGACCTAATAATCAGTGCACTGACTCCGGTTCGAGAGGTCCTGGCGCGAGACCTGGCCGCGTCAATGTGTTGTGTTTGTGCACTGGACTCGTGGTCGAGAGGTCTTGGTTCGAGACCCAGCTGGGTCAATGTGTTGTGTTCTTAGACAAGACACTTTACTCTCACATTGCCTCTTTCCACCCAGAAGTGTAGATGGATAAAGGAGGTAAATTTATAAAGAGACTGTGGTGCTGCGTCGATGGGAGAGTATAATAGGGTAATTTAGTATTATCAACTGAGTTGATAACGTAAATTGGCCGCTGTAAAGAGTTTAAAAGCTGACATTTCGAACATTCGCCCTTCGTCTATCGCTCTGACGAAGGGCTAACGCTCGAAAAGTCAGTATAAATGGGTACCCACGAATTTTCAGGGAGGCCTAATGAAATGCTGTGGGGTAACCTTGCGATGCATCACATCCACGGGGAAGCAGTATTATTTCTAGTCGCTTCATGCTATAGGGAAACTGGGATAAACCCCGGCTGAACGGGTCAGTAGGCTCGAGTACAGACTTCATCTCAATGACACTCAATCAAGAGAATGCTTTTAGTATGGCTGTACGAGTTTGTTAATTCACCTGGAGTTTGAAGAGTATTTATGACAGGCCAAAACTTCGCAGTGAATGTACACCTGATCGTAGTCGTTAAAGAATCTGAATGCTCTGATTTTAAACTGCTGGTAATTCCTTTGGGGATCAAAGTTGTATTCCATGGTTGTGTCTCGCGGACAACTGTAGGTAGTGAAAGTAAGAAGTAAGTTATAATTCACGCGCACCAGTGGGATATTTTGCTCATTGTAACCTCAGTCTGTTTCTTTCTAATTCATGCAGCCACTGATAAACTCTTTATAGAACTTTCTTGGTAATTTTAGCTTTTCAAAAGCTTGAATATTTGGTAAGGAAATGTGATGATGGCCTATATGGTCCAAGTCCATCCGTTAGAGTCAGTAAAACGTTGGAAGTTGTCCTTCAGTAACACCGACCACCTCCATACTTTGCATTTAGCTTTCGCAGCACAGGGGACTACGAACCTTAAGCATACAGATGTCTTTATAGAAAGAAATCTAGGTGATATGAAATAACGACTACTTGACTGAAACTTGCGTATTTTTTCCAGGAAGATCATTCCTACTAATATGTTTGAGTAACATACATACCCATTCAGTATAATAGAGTATTGTGGCCAGGAGTACAAGCTTCCAGTTTTAGTGGCCCTACATGTCACAGCCATTATCGCCAGATCAGCACTGGATTCCACGCTGTATCTCACATACAAATACTGATTGACTGGCACGCTCAGCGGGTAGTCCTGCTCAGTATAGGGTGTGGAAAATGACGAACTCTTGTAAAAGTCAATTTTAAAGGTAAAGTTTCCATACCCAACTGGAAAACGGAAAAAGATAAGAGTCATTCAGCACATAAACGTGTTAAAGTTTGAAACAAATCTGCCTTCCACTCTAGTGATGAAAGGATGGCGTCTTCCTCAGGAAGAAAGTACCTCAGCTAAAGATACATGTTGATGATTTGCAGTGATCAGAACGAGGGCTGGAAAGGTTTATTTACCTTCTGTTCCAAAGTGTAGATGCTGAGGCTTGAAACCCAGGTTGACCCATTTCCTTCTCGAATAACTACAATAAAATGGAATTTTGACGTCATGTGATCTAGTTATGACATTGTCGATAAGGACCACCTCCGTTCGGATTTCATTCCAGAAGATCAGATCATCTTCAGTCTCGTTGACCAGTGTTCCGCAACCATTCAAAGGAGTGCTGATCAGCAGATGGGTGTCATTCTGTGTGGCTTTACATGATGAGTACCTCAAGTGTAGTCGGGCAACGTCAAAAAATGGAAATGTCTTCTTTTCTAAGGCAACCGTTATAATGTCACTGCAGTTAACAGACACACCAGGTTCTAGGATGAAATTAAAAGCAATAGCCTTAAATTAAGCAGGATTTAAATGTCTCAACTACTCGTGCTTAATCCATAATAACTTTGAGATAGTTGAGTCACAAAAAATTACCACGCATCCACAATATTTTTCTACTTTCCTTCCAATTGAGCGAACACGTGTATCTTTTGGACAGTAGGGGTAACAAAATAAAGTCCGGCTCCGAAAAAGTGTCCTAAGACTGATTAGTGCTGCTAAGAATCTTGTCAAGCCTGCTGTTGCATTGGATAAAAAAATCATACTTTCCCCGAAAAAATATACACTTATGATACACTTAAAGGAACGGTCAGTCGTCTTTCCTTGGTGATCGTTGTTTATTCCCATTCTTAACAGAAGCAGAATTTTCCTTCAGTGATCATATGCAGAAAAGCTTAGCTTAGCATTCCTTACCAACACAAGTCAAATTGTTAGCACCCATACTGGTTCCTTCCGGACAGCCACAATAATATGATCCAGGGATATTGTAACAATGGTGGCTGCAGCCACCATTATTGATCAAACATTCATCAACGTCTGCGAGAAAGGGAAAAAAAATAAGTTATAAAAATTAATTGAAGAGAAACACACAGCCACCTCAAACATTTAAATAGTAAGCTAAACTTACCATGGGCACTTAAGGGGAACGGAAAGCGCGCACGAGAGGAGGAGAGCAACTAGGGCATTCTGAGGTCTATATCGTTAACCTTAGGAATGAATAACATTTCATATTGTTCCTTACATTATCACCCCTAAATCATACGTAAAGGTAATAAGAATAAAGGAAATGATCACCAACTAAAGAAGTCACACAAATTCTCCTTGTCAACACATCAAGAAATGTGTGTAGAACAGTATGGAGAAAATGCATTCTGATGTATGGGTGTAAAGGGCTCATCGATCGGTAACCTTTGTAAAGTTTAAAACGGCCAGCGCGCGTCAAACGATAAATTGGGATTTAAGCTGAACATCAAAAACACAATCTGTTATTTCAATCAGGCACCCGTCAAAGAGAGCGTTTTTGTATTTTTCTGTTCTACGAAAATCTATAGCGAGACTATAAGAATGTATCAAAAACAAAAAGTCTCAAAACTTATTTTCGTAGAATCAATTTTACCTGAGCACGATTTCCCGTCCGCGGCCAGTTGGTATCCACTAACGCAAGAGCAAGTGTAACTTCCTAACGTGTTGTGACAACTTTGTTCGCATTGCGCCGGTAAATGAAACTGGAACTGGGAAGGATCTGGCTGGACGTTTACACTTGAAGCAGCATAGAAAGTCGATGTCATTGCAGAAGCAGGTGTCGGTTGGATTCCGTGCACTGTAAACAAGAATAGACAGTTCTTCTACTGTTATTTTTATCCTCACTCACTTAGTCCGTTGGTGTATTTGGTGTATCCGGTTAATTCTTTCAGCATAAATAATTAATTCAAAATTTCAATTGTAAATTTTTGTACTTATTGCATGGTCTTTCAGCGGTTTCAATTATAACTAGTTACAACTATAATCTGGTTGTTAATTCTCCCCTCTAGTTGCTATACAGACTTTGGTGTTAGATCAATATAATAACTGCTTCCTGATAAGATTGAGTATTCCCATTACCTGTTTGCTGGATGATGTATGGATATTATAGAGAGAAATTACATAATTATCACTTCTGGGAGTTAAAGCTTTAAAAGTTTTCACGCCAAATTTGTTGGTTTTCTGCTAGTGTCTCCATGTCGGCTTATTCTCGAGTTTTCGTTTTGAACACGTATTCTAACTGCCATTACGTTGTTGCTGTCCTTTCTCCGTTCAATTTTCGTTTACCTTGTATTGTATCACTGTAAATTACTGTTAGATTTAGGTCATTTCTCGGCATATTTTAGAAATCAATGACAAAGTTAATATATGCTGATAAATTTACCGGTGCGTTCGTTACATAATTTTTTCGAAACATGATCATTATGTGACAAACTGGAGGTTTAAAAAGAAATTACGCTTGGGCGAGAAGGTTGTTCAAAAAAATATGGCAAACTCCGGATAGATAAGTGTAAATCATTACAAAATAGCGTTTGTTATAAGCACAGGTTTCGTTCACTTACCATTTGACGTGAAAGGGGTGGCAGTTTGTGTCTGCGTAGGAAAACACTGCACTGGGCTTGTTATTGACACTTGTTGGCTTGGTAATGGAATGTTGTATCCTGCGTACGAGGAAGAGCTTGGATTTGTATATGTCAAGAAAAAAAGCTTCTAACATTAAGTGCAAGATGTTATTTACGATTCTAAGAGTTAGCTGTAGCTTATCTCTATTAAATTATTTAAAACTCGTTAAGTCCAAACAATTTACTACTTGGAAGGTACGACTTGACTAACCTTGAAAACCGTTTCAACTTGCAATTTCGTTTAAATTTTTAATTCAAATTGACTTACCCGAAGCCCTTAAAATATATCATTTACACCACGAAACTTTCATCTAAACATTGTTATTTAAGAAAGGTTTTAAAGAAATTAATTTATTCCTCTTACTATAATATGAAGCTCGGTAATAAGCAGAAAATCCAGGCATCCCGATAATACCGTCCGAATTGAACAGCACCATGAGGAACCTCCCACTACTGTACAATCTCCACCATGCCAACTGGCCGCACGCCTTGACAAGAATAGGACTGTGCAATGAGTTGCCGTCAAGAATTTCGACATAATCCCACGGGCAGTTAGAAGATCCGTATTCCAAATGGAAAGAATAGAATTGTAGATCAATGTATTGACCAACAGGAGCTTCGAGCAGCCAGGCGCAGTGCTTGTTGTTCGGGTAACAACCTGGTTTGCCTGGACTCTCAAAGCTACCCGAAGGTTGGTTGAGGTGGTGGAAACAGTTTCCTATGAGAGAGAGAATTTAAATATATATAAAAAAAACTACTATATTGAACTTAAATGGATTCTTTGGTCTATGATTTATAGTGATCGTCTATTTGTATTCACGCTGACTGGATAGTTATCGGGAAAGTTCGCGCCAGCAAAGTATCCTCGCATCAGATAGGGCATAGGTCTAAGGCCTTGAGAGAAGCATTGACTCAGCGTTCATTTACATAACCAAGTTTCAAATTAATTTACCATCTTTATTTACATCCTAACTGCGCAAAAACACATTCTGCATTCCTATTCTTGTATTATGCAGGACGTTTGCCACCATCGATCCAGTTAACACCATCTTTTACACTGATTTAGTGGTCAGCGGAATCGTTTAACTCTGAACTGAGATCTATGTGGCTGGCTCCAATTAAACTTCATAGAAATTCACACCATGTAGCATCCAAATTAACACCTTCACTTAAAATGCTATAAGGGTATGTTTTGATTTCTACCACGCGTCACTTACCAGGAATAGCCGGGGTAACGGCGGCAATAGACTGGGCTTTAAAAAGCAAGAATAAATAAGAATGACGGTACTAAGTATTGAAATTCATAACCACTAAGTATTATTTTAAAAAAATGCATAATTACATTTTTAGGCTCAGACATAAGATGTATTTTGTGGATTGTTCGTCCAATTTTCTTAAGACGACTATTTCTTCATTAATTTAATCAGAGAGGAATAAAGAATTTTTAGAAGTGGTAGAGTGTCTTCGGTTTAATCTTACACATGCGTTTCAGTTCGTCCTGTTTACGAAGAAATCACAAAAAATCAATCGGAGTAGAACAGCTGAAACTAAATTCATTTTAAAAGAAAAGGTACTCACAGGGTGTTGGTGCGATACTAGTTGGGTTTAGAGCTGAAAACAAAATAAATGAATATTCATTGACATCATTCTGTCAATCACAGTCATAGTACCTTTAATTTAAATGTAACTTACGTTTCCTCATAAACGAATACAATCTTCGAGGTTTCTCCAATGATATAACCGGAGAGATGTAAGCTTCGTTTATTCAGCTATTGATGGATTAATTGATCGATTGGTCGGATGATTCACCGGGATTCCTCACTTTCCTTTTTTTAATTCAGGCCATAATTTAACCACGTGAACAGTGAAATGTTTGCGTAAAAATCCTACTTCTTTCTCGTATTGAGATAAAGGCATACATGGTATCTACTATGACCTCACTCGTTATGAATTATATGTTCTGTCTCTACAACCCTCCTTTTAATCTCTATCACAAGCTCTATCACGGCTTTACTTTCTTTTCTTGTGTGTCAGTCTGTGGTCGGTCCGTCCATTTGTCTGTTGTTCGTTTATCCCTGTTTGTCCATTTGAATGTGTCTGCTGTTTGTCTGTATGTTTGTCTCTCAACCATTTGTCTGTCTGTCTGATATTTGTGTGTCTCTTGCAATTGTCTGTCTTTCTGTCTGCTGTTTCTTACATTAATTGTACGCCTGTATGTCTTACCTCCACCATTACCACAATAACGAAGGTGACAATTTGGCGGGGGCACAAGCTCGTACACGTAGAAACCGCTGCAGTTACGAACACGGATGTTGGCAGACCACAAGCAACAATCAGAACTCCAATGGAAACACACTTTAGCACGGACAATTCCATCAGTTGCTCGCGGGTGCGAGCCATTCAACCAACCCGGTGCATGGGTGCCACATCGATTTTGTCCTACACAGGACGTAGGCATCTCTGTTCCTGCTGCACCACCAAATCGATACCATCCAAGCGGTAACAAGTTGTCACATTGGAGATATCCGTTGAAGCCGTTATAGTAACTCATCCTTCTTTCTGCTTCTGTTAGGTATGAGTGGTAATGGCATTCTGAATGCAAAAGAGGAAAACAAATTGATAAAGAGAAAAGAGACATCGACATCAAAAAGGGACAACAACATCAATAATGAGGTGCATTACTAATTATTAACATAGCCTGGCGATGTGGAAAGCCACACAAAAGCTTTAAAGCGAGTCAATTGTGTATCGCTGTTTGTTGAACTCTGCAAATAGCTGAATAATAATAATAATAATAATAATAATAATCTAGCGAGCCATTTTGGTAAAAGTGTCCAACCAGTCGCATGACCTTTTAATAGATTCTTTTAAGCCAATGAAAATCCCTTACGATCCACATATTCAAAGAAACTGAGTTCTATTCCGATTTACCTACTAAAACCACAAGTTGATATTACAAATACATATTCATTTGATGGTAGATGAGATAGAAAAGGGTTGAAACACAACCTGAAGGAAATGAAGGAGCTGCGCTAGCGGATGCCCGTGGAGCTGTGGGGAAAACAAAATTGGTGAGGCTTCCTCTCGCATTCATCGAATTCATCATAAAGAGTTACGTCATCACTGAGTCTAAATGTTTTTAGATGAATGAAAAAAAAACGGGAAATTTCGCACACGACGATTCCAACAGGTAAAAATCTTTAGTTTACAGATTCTTTGTTTAATTGTGTTTACCAACCCCAACCCCTTTGAAAAAAAAAGAAAAACATGTTTTTATCTATTGCTGGTGTTTGTTCGATGGTTTTTATTTTTCCATTTTATTCCCTATAAACATAAATTCCTTGCCTTTCAGTGAAACTAGTAGAAGAAGTAGTCGTAGTATTAGTAACGGTAATAATAGTATCGGTCATGGTAGTTGCAGAAGTGGTTGTTGTAGTCGTAGAAGAAGAATAAAACAAAAAATACCAGCTGAAGTAGGTGTTATGCCTTGTGAGATACCTGTGAAAAGAAGTGGAAAGGTATTGTTACCACGTTTCTCACTTCAGGAATATTAATGTTTTTCCAAAGCTTGTCTATTACTTAACAAAAAATATGGACATATGCTATTGTTCTGAATGTACTGTAATCTCTTTACCGCATAATTTGAAAAACTTTGTCAGACACAACAACCGTCATCACGAATTTTTTGAACAGGGAGACACATGACAAATGCCAGTAACCTTATACGCCAGATGGCAAAGATTTCTTCCCGTTCTGTATCTGTCTCTCCGTAGGTCTTACCTACCAGTCTGTTGTCTTGTTTCTTGCCTGACTATCTGTTTATTTAAAGGAGTGAGATTTAAAAGAAACTGTGGTGCTGCGTCAGTGGGGAAATATAACAAGATAGTTTGGTTTTATCAAATGGGTTGATAATGTAGAGTGGCTACCGGAAAGAGTTTCTAAAGCTGACGTTTCAAGCATTTACCCTTCGTCAGAGCGAATTGTCTGTCTGTCTCTCAGTCAGTCTGCTGCCTACCTGTCTTTCTTTCTGTTTTACCTGCGTGTGTGTCTATCGGTATTGCTTTGCATAATTTTTTGAAAGGTCACCATCAGACATGCGGATAAATATGACTAAACGTAGCCTTACTCGAATTGACTTTGCAAACTGTGTATCTCTTAGAGACTTTTTCATAATAGGCAGTGAAACCAGGGTAGGAAACTGAACCGTCTGTTTGGAAGTGTACGTAAAGGACGTTGCTGTGGCTGTAAATACACCAGGAATCTTGATAATCGCAGCGTCTCATTGTTAGGCTTTGATAAGAATTTCCATCATATATCCGTACGTAGTCGTAAGGGCAACTTCCATGACTACCCTCCAGATGGAAATGATCAAAGCGGAGGAAAATGTAAGAACCTGGTGATGTCGTAATAAGCCAAGTACAATGGACATTGTGGCCGTAGTTTTGTGGGTAGTTTGGAGTGCTAAAATTTCCTTGTGGTCCATATAGATTGTAGAGACAGGATCCTAAAAAAGTCAACAACATAAGTTAGACTATCAATTGTTATTTAGACATTAAACATATCTCCGGGAATTTAGGCTTATTTACGAAATACTAAAATGTCATACAGTCTTACCAGAGGCAGGTGGCAGCATGGCTGTTGACATTGGTGATATTGATGCTGTGAAGGCAAGGAAGGCATGATCAAAAATAGGATATGTTGGTAATTCCTAATTTATTTGTTAAGTAAATGCAAGTTAAAAAGGAATGAACCAAAAAAAAAAAGTTGTGTGCTAGTTGAATCTTGGAAAAAAGAAAGTACTAGCACCTTAGCTCTGAAGGGTAAGTAGGATGCACACGAGATTATGTTGCATTCCTGCAATATGTAAACTTGCTGAAAACAATTGCAATCAGTAACTCTCAAATTGAAACAAAATGAAAAATTAACGATAAGTAAATAATTGGATGAGAAAAAAAAGTACCTGGTGTAGGAGATATACCACTGAAAGTACTCGATGGTAAATGGTGAGCTGTCGGAAGAAAATAATCATGGTGGCTAAAGGTTATCTACTGAAAAACTGTATAGGTACGAAGTCAGGATCCATAAGAAAGGGTGTGCAAACCCTTTAACCCTTTATTTCTTGGAAAAGAGCCCTGCTTAACTCATTTATGTTTGCCTTGTGTAGTCAGTGTGGTGTGTGTGTTTATCTAACCAACTTACTCGTTGCGTGGTACTTCCTGAGTATAGTAAAGAGCCCGTCTCATGATATCGATAAAGAGAATTTAATGGAAAAAGTTTTTAAAATCAAGGCTAAAAGCATTTCTTTGTTCTTGTTTCCCTTCAAATATATATATATTAAACATGTTTTGAAACATGCTTGCCTGCTTTTTGAGTGCGTGTGTTTGTATTTTTGTGCATTTTTCTCAATAATCTTTTTTGTTTTTGTTTTTTTTTTCTATTGTGCCTTTTATCTTAACTATCTTCAGTTAATAATAGTCCACGCATGATAACTGTATTTTAAGTCCTAGAGGGGTAAAGTCATAAGCCCCAGGCATTCGAAATGAACTTCCTCCCCAAGAACAAGAAGAGAACTATATACATTCACATTTAGATATTGTAAATATTATAAATATTTTCAGGCAAAATAAATCGAATCAATAACCAGCAGAATTCAATGAAAATAGATTACTATTGGAAAACCTTTCTGGTCATATCCTTACTTGCATTTGGATGCGGGCAGACATAATATGTTTCATGGACTCTTTCATAATAAGCAGTGAAACCAGAGTAGGATACAGAATGATCCGTCACAAAATATACATAAAGGACGTTGCTGTGACTGTAAACACACCAAGAGTTTTGATAATGGCAGCGTCTTATTGTTAGGCTTTGGTAAGACTTTCCGTCATATATCTGCACGTAGTCGTAAGGGCAACTTCCAAAACCACCCTCCAGATGGAAATGATCAAAGCGGAGGTATATGTAGTAGCCATTTGGTACAGTAATAACCCAAACACAATAAAGTTGGTGGTCGTAGTTAGATGGGTAATTTGGGCTGTGGAAATATCCGTACTGGCCTCCTAAGTTGTAAAGACAGGATCCTGAAACAGACAAAATTGAAACATGATTAATGTAACGTTATCTTCATTCCTCTATTTTCGTGTACATGATTTTAGTTTTAACATTCCCTTTGAACAAGGTCACTAAGGTTTCACGGTGGAGGCAATCATTAATACTTCTAGTCCTACCTGGAAGAGCCGGCAGCATTGCTGACGCCGTTGAAGATATGGAAGTTGCTTCATTCAAAAATGGAAATAAAAAAAGATTTTTATTACTCCTATGGTTGAATAGAATATCGATTGGGTTGTTTTGAACGCTGTCAGATGACGCATGTACATTTTCTTAAAGAGAATTTAAGTACATGTATAATAAAATAAAATCCAACAACAGCGTTTACAAAAAAGACAAAATAAAAAAGAAAATAATGAAATACCTGGAGAAGGTGATATATTGGAAGCAGATGAAGTAGATTCGCTACCTATAAAAAGAAAATGATAATCACGTAAAAGCTTCGAAGTTGACTTCGACTAGGAATTATGCCGAGACAGATGTTACTAACAGTTGTATCCTTTTGGTCAATCTGCCTCTCTGACTACGTCCTTTCCGTGTATGAGTCAAATTTCATCAGATATGTTCGTAACTAAATCCCTTAAAAGCCTGTTTTTACAGTCTGACCGCAGTTTCCCTATCTATCTTACCCTCTCAATTTCCACAATAGAAGTGGTGGAAATAGTAAAGGAAATACTAGCGCTAATTGTGGTGGTCGTGGTAGTAAAATTAGTGTTGAACGTAGTAGTGCTAGTGGTAGAAGGAGTGGAACTAGAGGTGGTTATGGTTGTGATAACAGTGTACCTATAAAAAGAAAATGATAATCACGTAAAAGCTTTGAAGTTGACTTCGACTAGGAATTATGCCGAGACAGATGTTACTAACAGTTGTATCCTTTTGGTCAATCTGCCTCTCTGACTACGTCCTTTCCGTGTATAAGTCGAATTTAATAAGATATGTGCGTAACTAAATCCCTTAAGAGCCTGTTTTTGTTTTTTCAGTTTGACTGCAGTTTCCCTATCTATCTTACCTTCTCAATTTCCACAACAGAAGTGGTGGAAATAGTAAAGGAAATACTAGCGCTTGTTGTGGTGGTCGTGGTAGTAAAATTAGTGTTGAACGTAGTAGTGCTAGTGGTAGAAGGAGTGGTACTGGAAGTGGTTATGGTTGTGATAACAGTGTAGCCGAAAGGTGGTTGTGATGTTAGTGAAAGTGGTAGTGTTATTGGCAGTTTTATCATTATGGGTTAGTTATAATGGCAGGGACAGTGATAGTGGTGGTGGGAGTGGCAGCGGTAGCAACAACAGAAACAAGATAATTACCAACTTAAGTGGTAGGTGTGCTTGAAGAGATGTCTGTAAATGAAAATAAACGACACAAGAAGTTCCTAGCAGGAATGATCATGTAACCAATATAACCCCTTTGCTCAGGCAAAGAAAACGTTTGACACACCGACTGTCACCTCACATTTTCTTAAGTTAGTGATACCCTAAAGTACAGGAAATGGGTTCACGACTCTGATGCTGACGTCTGCTCAGGTTAATTGTCGAAACGACAGTCAGTAGTGCCGACAACAGTCCTTCTCAGCGCTACAGAAGATTAGCTTACACTATCATACACCTTAAAATGTGATGATGAATAAAGAAAAAAATATGCAATCAGTGCTAAGTCATGCAAAAGTACTTCACAGGATCGATATTGTACATTGAAATTCGAAGGAACATAATCACAGTGAGTAAGTACAATTTTTATGACAAAATACCATCCTATACCAAAGGTGAATGATAAATAGTAATTAGAAGAAATGCGAAAGGAGTAAACCGAAATGTTAACGCGTGAGAAAATTCTAAAGTTGAAATCAGTTACAAGGTTTACAAAATCAAATAAAAATTGAGATTACTCCCACTGTAAAGTCAAGGTTCTAAATTCTTTCGAATTCTCTAGCTATATTGAGCAGGAGGAGACAACAAGTTTCACAGAGATCCAAACTGAAACAAAGGAAATGATAAAACTGAAGTGGTGTGATTTTTAGTTCTTTTGCCTGGGAGTGTACTGCTATAGTAAATTTTTTGACTGTGAAGATCATCGAGAGAATACTAACTTGAGACCATTCAAGCTGGACATCTTACCAACAGTTCGAAATTCAGTAAGCTTTAATCCGCACTCAACTACTTAGTTTCATGAAAACAATGAAACAAGAATATCTCCATCCTTGTTATGTTCGTCAACCTGGTATTTGTGAAGATAGAAAGGTGGAAAGGAGGAGGGAAAAAGGGGACAGATGAGCTTGCAAAATTAGCGAGCAAATGACAAAAAAGTGTACTTTGGGCTTTCCTTGGCGGATCTGGAAGAGGAGGTCAAAGGCAAACGAATAGAGACCATTTCACAGCAGCCCCAAAGAGAGGACTCCCGAGAAATCAGCTCCCTAGAAACCACTGCCTGCCTACCTGTCCTTCTTCCTGTTCTACTTGAGTGTGCGTCTATCGGTATTGCTTTGCATAATGTTTTGAAAAGTTACCATCAGACATGCGGATAAATGCAAGAATAAACGTAGCCTTACTCGAATTGACTTTGCAGACTGCGTATCTCTTAGAGACTTTTTCATAAAAGGCAGTGAAACCAGGGTAGGAAACTGAACCGTCTGTTTGGAAGTGTACGTAAAGGATGTTACTGTGGCTGTAAATGCACCAGGAATCTTGATAATCGCAGCGTCTCATTGTTAGGCTTTGATAAGTATTTCCATCATATATCCGTACGTAGTCGTAAGGGCAACTTCCATGACTACCCTCCAGATGGAAATGATCAAAGCGGAGGAAAATGTAAGAACCTGGTGATGTCGTAATAAGCCAAGTACAATGGACATTGTGGCCGTAGTTTTGTGGGTAGTTTGGAGTACTAAAATTTCCTTGTGGTCCATATAGATTGTAGAGACAGGATCCTTAAAATGTCAACAACATAAGTTAGACTATCAATTGTTATTTAGACATTAAACATATCTCCGGGAATTTAGCATTATTTACGAAATACTAAAGTGTCATACAGTCTTACCAGAGGCAGGTGGCAGCATGGCTGTTGACATTGGTGATATCGATGCTGTGAAGACAAGGAAGGCATGATCAAAAATAGGATATATTAGTACTTCCTAATTTATTTGTTAAGTACATGCAACTTGAAAAGGAATAAACCAAAAAAAAAAATAGATGTGTGCTAGTTGAATCTAGGAAAAAAGAAAGTACTAGCACCTTAGCTCTAAAGGGCAAATAGGATGTACACGAGATTATGTTGCATTCCTGCAATATGTAAACTTGCTGAAATAAATTTCAATTGGTAACTCACAAATTGAAACAAAATGAAAAATTAACGATAAAGTAAATAACTGGATGAGAAAAAAAAGTACCTGGTGTAGGAGATATACCACTGAAAGTACTCGATGGTAAATGGTGAGCTGTGGGAAGAAAATAATCATGGTGGCTAAAGGTTATCTACTGAAAAACTGTATAGGTACGAGGTCAGGATACACAAGAAAATGTGTGCAAGCCCTTTAACCCTTTATTTCTTGGAAAAGAGCCCTGCTTAACTGATTTATGTTTGCCTGATTTTGTGTAGTCAGTGTGGTGTGTGTGTTTATCTGACCAACTTACTCGTTGCGTTGCACGTACTGAGTACAGTAAGGAGCTCGTCTTATGATATCGATAAAGATAATTTAATGGACAAAGGTTTTAAAATCAAGGCTAAAAGTATTTCTTTGTTCTTGTTTCCCTTAAAATATATATATATATATATATATATATATATATATATATATATATATATATATATATTTATATATATATACGCTGCAATAGGGGAAAAAGACAGAGAAACTACTTTTATCCCTACAAGCCTGTTTCGTGATTCCTCACTATATAGGAATATCTTTTTCTCTTCCAAAATGTTTTCAGCGCGTCTGTTCGCTTGCTACTTGTGTGCGTCTATTTGTATTTTTGTTTATTTTTTTTAAGAATCACTTTTTTGTTTTTTTCTCTATTGTCCTTTTTATCCTAACTACCAGTAACTACCTAGGCATTCGAAATGAACTTCCTCCCCAAGAGCAAGAAGAGAACTATATACATTCACATTTAGATATTGTAAATATTATAAATATTTTCAGGCAAAATAAATCGAATCAATAACCAGCAGAATTCAATGAAAATATATTACTATTGGAAAACCTTTCTGGTCATATCCTTACTTGCATTTGGATGCGGGCAGACATAATATGTTTCATGGACTCTTTCATAATAAGCAGTGAAACCAGAGTAGGATACAGAATGATCCGTCACAAAATATACATAAAGGACGTTGCTGTGACTGTAAACACACCAAGAGTTTTGATGATCGCAGCGCTTTATTGTGAGGCTTTGGTGAGACGTTCCGTCATATATCTGCACGTAGTCGTAAGGGCAACTTCCAGAGCTACCTTCCAGATGAAAATGATCAAAGCGGAGGTATATGTAGTAGCCATTTGGTACAGTAATAACCCAAACACAATAAAGTTGGTGGTCGTAGTTAGATGGGTAATTTGGGCTGTGGAAATATCCGTACTGGCCTCCTAAGTTGTAAAGACAGGATCCTGAAACAGACAAAATTGAAACATGATTAATGTAACGTTATCTTCATTTCTCTATTATCGTGTACATGATTTTAGTTTTAACATTCCATTTGAACAAGGTCAATAACGTTTCACGGTAGAAACAGTCATTAAAACTCCTAGTCTTACCTGGAAGAGCCGGTAGCATGGCTGACGCCGTTGAAGACATGGAAGTTGCTTCATTCAAAAAGGGAAATAGAAAAAGACTTTTATTACTCCTATGGTTGAATAGCAAATCTACCGGGTTGTTTTTAACGCTGCCGGAAGACGCATGTACATTTTCTTAAAGAGAATTTAAATACATATATGATAGAATGAAATCCAACAACAGCGTTTACAAAAAAAGACAAAAGAAAAAAAAAAATAATGAGATACCTGGAGAAGGTGATATATTGGAAGCAGATGAGGTAGATTCGCTACCTAGAAAAGGAAAATGATAATCACGTAAAAGCTTCGAATTTGACTTCGACAAGGAATTATGCCGAGACAGATGTTACTGACAGTTGTATGCTTTTAGTCAATCTGCCTCTTTGAGTATTTCCTTTCCGTGTATGAGTCAAATTTAATTATGTCTGTTCGTAACTAAATCCCTTAAGAGCCTGTTTTTTCCAGTTTGACTGCATTTTCCTTATCTATCTTACCTTCTCAATTTCCACAACAGAAGTGGTGGAAATACTAATGGAAATACTAGCGCTAGTTGTGGTGGTCGTGGTAGTAAAATTAGTGTTGAACGTAGTGGTGCTAGTGGTAGAAGGAGTGGTACTGGAGGTGGTTATGGTTGTGATAACAGTGTAGCCGAAAGGTGGTTGTGATGTTGGTGAAAGTGGTAGTGTTATTGGCAGTTGTATCATTATGGGTTAGTTATAATGGCAGGGACAGTGATAGTGGTGGTGGGAGTGGCAGAGGTAGCAACAACAGAAATAAAATAATTACCAACTTAAGTAGTAGGAGTGCTTGAAGAGATGTCTGTAAATGAAAATAAACATCACAAGAAGTTCCTAGCAGGAATGATCATTTAACCGGTATAAACGTTTTGCTCAGGCAAAGAAGACGTTTGACACACCGACTGTCACCTAACATTTTCTTTAGTAAGTGATACCCTAAAGTACAGGAAATGGGTTCAAGACTCTGATGATGACGTCTGCTCAGGTTACTTGTCTAAAGGACAGTCAGTAGTGCCGACAACAGTCCTTCTCAGGGCTGCAGACGATTAGCTTACACCATCATACACTTTAAAATGTGATAATGAATAAAGAAAAAAATATTCAATCAGTGCTAAGTTTTGCAAAAGTACTTAACAGGATCAATATTGTACATTGAAATTCGAAGGAACATAAGCACAACACAAGCACTTTTATAGTGAATCTTTTGATTATGAAGATCATGGAGAGAACACTAACTTGAGATCATTCAAGCTGGACATCTTGCCAACAGTTCGAAATTCAGTAAGCTTTAATCCGCACTCAACTACTTAGTTTCATGAAAACAAGCAAACAAGAATATCTCAATCCTTGTTCTGTTCGTCAACCTGGTATTTGTGAAGATAGAAAGGTGGAAAGGAGGAGGGAAAAGGGGGACAGATGAGCTTGCAAAATTAGCGAGCAAATGACAAAAGTATACTTTGGGCTTTCCTTGGCGGATCTGGAAGAGGAGGTCAAAGGCAAACGAATAGAGACCATTTCACAGCAGCCCCAAAGAGAGGACTCCCGAGAAATCAGCTCCCTAGAAACCACTGCCTGCCTACCTGTCCTTCTTCCTGTTCTACTTGAGTGTGCGTCTATCGGTATCGCTTTGCATATTTTTTTGAAAAGTTACCATCTGACATGCGAATAAATGTAAGAATAAACGTAGCCTTACTCGAATTGACTTTGCAGGCTGCGTATCTCTTAGAGACTTTTTCATAAAAGGCAGTGAAACCAGGGTAGGAAACTGAACCGTCTGTTTGGAAGTGTACGTAAAGGATGTTACTGTGGCTGTAAATGCACCAGGAATCTTGATAATCGCAGCGTCTCATTGTTAGGCTTTGATAAGAATTTCCATCATATATCCGTACGTAGTCGTAAGGGCAACTTCCATGACTACCCTCCAGATGGAAATGATCAAAGCGGAGGAAAATGTAAGAACCTGGGGATGTCGTAATAAGCCAAGTACAATGGACATTGTGGCCGTAGTTTTGTGGGTAGTTTGGAGTGCTAAAATTTCCTTGTGGTCCATATAGATTGTAGAGACAGGATCCTAAAAAAGTCAACAACATAAGTTAGACTATCAATTGTTATTTAGACATTAAACATATCTCCGGGAATTTAGCCTTATTTACGAAATACTAAAGTGTCATACGGTCTTACCAGAGGCAGGTGGCAGCATGGCTGTTGACATTGGTGATATCGATGCTGTGAAGACAAGGAAGGCATGATCAAAAATAGGATATGTTAGTACTTCCTAATTTATTTGTTAAGTACATGCACCTTGAAAAGGAATAAACCAAAAAAGAAGACGTGTGTTAGTTGAATTTAGGGAAAAAGAAAGTACTAGCACCTTAAAGGGCAAATAGGATGTACACGAGATTATGTTGTATTTCTGCAATATGTAAACTTGCTGAAATAAATTTCAATTGGTAACTCACAAATTGAAACAAAATGAAAAATCAACGATAAAGTAAATAATTGGATGAGAAAAAAGTACCTGGTGTAGGAGATATACCACTAAAAGTACTCGATGGTAAATGGTGAGCTGTGGGAAGAAAATAATCATGGTGGCTAAAGGTTATCTACTGAAAAACTGTATAGGTACGAGGTCAGGATGCATAAGAAAGGGTGTGGAAGCCTTTTAACTCTATTTTTCTTGGAAAAGAGCCCTGCTTGACTGATTTATGTTTGCCTGATTTTATGTAGTCAGTGTGGTATGTGTGTTTATCCGACCAACTTACTCGTTGCGTGGCACTTCCTGAGTATAGTAAAGAGCCCGTCTCATGATATCAATAAAGAGAATTTAAAGGACAAAGTTTCTAAAATCAATCCCTTTTCCCTTTTTAACATGTTTCAACCGCGTGTGCTTGCTTGCTATTTGTGTGCGTATGTTTGAATCTTTGTATTTTTGTGTGCACTTTTGATTTTTTTTTCTCTATTGTGCTTTTTATCTTAACTATCTTCAGTTAATAATAGTCCACGCATGATAACTGTATTTTACGTCCTAGGGGGGTAGAAGAAGAAAATTGTATACATTCACATATAGATATTACAAATATCGTAAATATTTTCCGGAAAAATAAATCGAATGAATAACAAGAAGAATTCAATTAAAATAAATTACTATTGGAGAACCTTTGTGGTCATATCCTTACTTGCATTTGGATGCGGGCAGACATAATATGTTTCATGGACTCTTTCATAATAAGCAGTGAAACCAGAGTAGGATACAGAATGATCTGTCACAAAATACACATAAAGGACGTTGCTGTGACTGTAAACACACCAAGAGTTTTGATGATCGCAGCGTTTCATTGTGAGGCTTTGGTGAGATGTTCCGTCATATATCTGCACGTAGTCGTAAGGGCAAATTCCAGAAATACCTTCCAGATGAAAATGATCAAAGCGGAGGTATATGTAGTAGCCATTTGGTACAGTAATAACCCAAACACAATAAAGTTGGTGGTCGTAGTTAGATGGGTAATTTGGGCTGTGGAAATATCCGTACTGGCCTCCTAAGTTGTAAAGACAGGATCCTGAAACAGACAAAATTGAAACATGATTAATGTAACGTTATCTTCATTTCTCTATTATCGTGTACATGATTTTAGTTTTAGCATTCCATTTGACCAAGGTCAATAAGGTTTCACAGTAGAAGCAATTATTAAAACTCTTAGTCTTACCTGGAAGAGCCGGTAGCATGGCTGACGCCGTTGAAGACATGGAAGTTGCTTCATTCAAAAAGGGAAATAGAAAAAGACTTTTAGTACTCCTATTGTTTAATAGCAAATCTTTTGGGTTGTTTTTAACGCTGCCGGAAGACGCATGTACATTTTCTTAAAGAGAATTTAAATACATGTATAATATAATGAAATCCGACAACAGTGTTTGAAAAAAAAGACAAAATAAAAAGAAAATAATGAGATACCTGGAGAAGGTGATATATTGGAAGCAGATGAGGTAGATTTGCTACCTGTAAAAGGAAAACGATAATCACGTAAAAGCTTCGAAGTTGACTTGACTAGGAATTATGCCGAGACAGATGTTACTAACAGTTGTATGCTTTTAGTCAATCTACCTCTGAGTATTTCCTTTCCGTGTATGAGTCAAATTTAATTAGATCTGTTCATAACTAAATCCCTTAAGAGCCTGTTTTTTCAGGTTGACTGCATTTTCCTTATCTATCTTACCTTCTCAATTTCCATAATAGAAGAAGTGGTGAAAATGGTACAGGAAGTATAAGTACTAGCCCCTAGGAGAGGACTCCCGAGAAATCAACTCCCTAGAAACTACTGCCACAGTATGCCAGGCTCCACTGGTAGAGGATGATGATCTAGTTTTGCGAATGTTTAGGTGAGATTTTATCTTGAACTCAGTCACGATTTTAAGATAGATCATATTCCCAGAACTGACAGGATAAGCTTGCTTGGTTTGATGATCCATATAAATTTATTTATTTATTTATTTTGCACAAGGTCATCATTATAACAACACTACATACTGCGACGCATTTAATATAATCCTGAGCGGGAAGTCTCAGAAGCCTTTTTAGGCTTATCTAGGAGACCCCCTTTACTACCTGATAAGACAAGTCTGGCGGTCAATGATTACAGATCTTATACATTGATTTACAGATTCGTGAGTAAGTTACATTGGTATTGAATATATTACTATAAACTATTCGTTAGAATATAATTTTTTAATTTTCGCTTAAAAGTCGATTTATACTGGATATTTTTTAGATCACTTGGTAAGCTGTGGTATACATCAACTCCTTTAAAACTAATGCTTAATTTCCTGAGGTTGGTTTTGACACAAGGCTTGTGTAATTTTTTGTTTGAACGAGTGTTGTGGTTGTGAACTTCTTCATTAGTCCTAAAAATATTTTTCGATGAGGTAGGTAATTGATTATTTGAAAATTTTTTCATTAAGATAGCAATAGTGTAATAATTAACTTGATAAACATTCAGTATCTTCAGATTATCAAATAATGGTTTTGAGCTGTGATTGTATTCTTTGAAGGTTATTATTCGTACAAGTTTCTTTTGCAGTTTGTATATTTTCTCGAGATGAGTCTGATATGCATTAGCCCATACAACATTGCCATAAAAAATATAGGGGTAGATCAGGGCATAGTAAATTGATTTCAGTAACGATCTAGTTACAAAATGCCGCGCTTTACATAATATACCTGTTAGCCTTGATATATTGTTTGCAACGAAATTAATGTGTTCTTTCCACTTCAGTTGGTCGTCAACTATTGTTCCAAGAAATTTTGTGCTTTTTACTTGAGTAATATAATGATTTTTGATTTTTATATTTAGTTGTTTAGTTTTTTTTTTTGCTTGATGATTTAAACAGCATGAAATTTGTTTTTGTAATATTAAGTGATAATTTGTTTAGTTGTAGCCACGTATTGATTTTAATTAGTTCTTCATTCATTTTATCTATCAGCGTGTCTAGATTTTTATTAGACATCAACAAATTTGTATCATTTGCAAAGAGAATGAAGGATAATTTTTTGGAACTATTGCAGATATCATTTATATAAATTAAAAACAGCAGAGGACCTAGAACTGATCCTTGGGGAACTCCACACGTTATTTCTTGTTTCTCTGATATTTCATTGTTGGATCTGACTCACTGATATCTCTGTTACATAATTCTTAAACCATTCTAATGCAATTCCTCTGATTCCATAGAATTCCAGCTTTTGAAGTATCAGGCTATGATCAACTGTATCAAAGGCCTTAGACAAATCCAGAAATACCCCGATGGCAAATTCTTTGTTTTCTAAAGCAGTCGTTATTTTATTGATCAGGTCAATAAGTGCGAAATTTGTTGAGTGATTTCTCCTGAATCCAAACTGATGTTCACTAAGAAGGCATATTTCGTTTAAGTAATTCAATAATCTTTTGTACATCATTTTTCCTAATATTTTAGAGAAGCAAGGTAATAAAGAAATAGGTCTGTAGTTGTTGAATTCACAACTGTCCCCTGATTTGCACACAGGAATAACAATTGATGTTTTAAAGTCTACAGGTAGTTTGCCTGTACTGAATGTGAGATTTATAATATGTGATAATGGTTCACTCAATTCTGTTGCTAACTGTTTCACTACTTTGGGCATAAAGTTATCGTGTCCACAGCTTTTTGATGGGTCAAGATTTTCTAGTTCTTTCTTAATTTCTCGTTCACAGACAGGTGTCAAAAATACTGAATCCATGTAGTGTCCCTTCAAGTAACTAATGAATGACAAGTTGGTAGCAGTTATTTTCTTTGCAAGGTTAGCTCCGACATTAACAAAATATTCATTGAATCGATTAACAATTTCCCTTTTGTCAGTAATACGCTCATTATCTTTTTTAAATTCTGTAGAGCTAACAGTATCCTTCTTTTTTCTACTGATTACTTCATTTACTAATTTCCATGTCTGTTTTATATCACTTTTAGCAGTGTCGAATTTTTGCTCATAATATCTCCTTTTCAGAATATTTTTTAACTTGTTCAGACGGTTGCGATAATATTTGTATTTTGCTTTTAACTCTTCATTTCCATTGTTTAAAATCTTTTTGTATAGCTTGTTTTTAATTTTAGATGATTTGATGAATCCCTTTGTAATCCAAGGTTTCTTATGAATTTTTGCTTCTTTGTTAGAAAGATTCTTTTCAGGTATACATTTATTGTATAAGCACATGAACGTTTCTTTAAAATAAGAATATGCGTCATCAACGTCATTGATGGTCCTTAAAAATTCCCAATTAATATTTTGAACTTCACTCCGCAATTTGTTCATATTTGCCTTTGTTACTGCTCTTTTCTTGATAACCATCTTTTTTGGTTCAGGTGTGCTTATAGATGGAAATATTTGAAAGACAGGTAGGTGATCTGAAAGGTCACTGATCAAAATTCCTCGAACACAATCTAAGTGGATGTTATTAATAAATATATTATCAATTAATGTTGCTGAATTTGCTGTAATTCTAATTGGTCTGTTTATAAGTGGATAAATGAATGATAATCGAAACATTAGGGGAGAGACCTCATTTTCCATTATTATTATGATTAGCATGAGGAAGCATCACAAAAATGATGGTACCAGTGGGTATATCTACCTGAATTTTGAGAAAACACATTGTACCACCAAGGAGAACGTTTTGACCGATGATGTCCGCCGCATTCGTCTATATCTGTAAACAGAAAAGAAATTTTCACACGGACAGACTCTCGTTAAAAAGAAAAAACATCTAAACTTGAGTCTATGCTTACATTTAAAATATTGAAATGGTTTACACTACTTGAATTAATATAATTTCTATTTTGAGGCTCTAGTTGGTCTCCTTGAATGTTTGTTTTTAACTAGTTTTCACACTCAAACAGTAGACATCAGAATTTCTGCGCAAAGAATGATACAATATTAAAAGTGAGAATGCAGACTAAGCTTTGCGACACTAGGATATCACACGATGATGTATCATAATGGAGACCAATTGCATTCTAAAAAATCATCTGGAAATGGGTAGCACATATTTCATCAAGTCAATTCCAACCGCTTATCCTTCATGCACATAATATTTCAAGATAATTATAACAAAACCCATTTAGGCAGAAAACAATCATCCCCACTATATATTTACAGGCCTGGTACTAAAGTTTATACTGTTAACAGATGGCTTGAGATTGGAGCATGGATGATGGCACCCTCATAACCCATACCGGAGTATTGTAGGGTAAGGATACCGGGTACTTGTTCACTAAATACTACAATACCGGACGTACCCTCACACTTTTGAAAACTTGGAGAAACCAGAGCATAACCAAGAGGGCAGACACCATCTACGGGGAAGGCCCAGTCTCTGGGTGAGGTTATACCAGGTGTTGGTGGACCATCATTCGAGCACCCCTGCCCAACTACTGCACCGGGATCTATCAAGATGGCATATGAACCGTTCATGCTCAGTGCAGCCTTCGGCGTGGCAAAATGAAGTACTGTGCGATTACTGTCCACAATAACGTAACCAGAGAGGGCATTCACTTTGAAGACGGTAAAACCATTTGACTGCAGAACCAATCGGATGAATGCTGAGCTACGAGGCTTCTTTATCTGTAAATAATCAAGCTCAATCTTAAATTCAAATATATTCTAATCATATATGTTTCCCTAACATTTTGAATTACCAAGATCTGAAAGCTAGTTCTTCCAAAAGATGATTTCGATTTTTTTTTTATTTCCTGGTTACAGAAATCTAGTGTTATATCTGGGTAACATTAGCTCGTCATTAATTAACGTGATTGCTATTCCTTAAAGGGGTAAAATTTATCAGAATGCTAATAGAGGATCTACATACAAGTAATTATTTGAAAGGTAAAGAAAGGAGTGTTGATTACCACTCTGTTAAAATGAATACTCCACCATATTAGTCCTGTTCCAATTTCACTTATCGGACTTACTGGCCTTCGTGTACCCAAAATAACATGAGGCGTATTACCTAAAAATAAGTGTATTTACATTGAAATAATATCAAAATGGTACATCGTAATTCAATCATAGATGAATAACTTATTGACTTAATAAATATGCTTTTAATGTCAATTTTTGTGTACTATGATGTCATGGTTATTATTGCCTTTTTATCATTTATCATCATTAAAGATTTTTTACTATCATGTGTGTTTGTTTGTATAGTTCTAGTCTGCATCAAAAGCAAATGAACCTGCCAACTCCTTAACAGTAGATTAAAGATTAAACAGAGGGAAAGAGAAATTAACAAAGCTCAATTTATCTTAATGTCTCAATAAATTGAAATATTTCAGAGGATATAAAATTATTTACTTAGCCCCACAAGGATCGTGACACAACGCCATTCACTTTGTAATCTGTAAATTGGAAATGACACGAATCATTACTATAAATACACGCCGATTTACACAACATGAATCATGAATTTTTTTCATACTCCCGTAAATTACTAACGACGTGTTCTAAACTGGAACTGTTTATGCACATGTATCTTGTATTGGCACAGAATTGCTCTGGTGCATTTTGAGTTAAGAATACTGCCTACATGAGCATCTAACACTCCAGTGAAACACCAGTAGTGTTATGCTATGTCGTGAACAGTGATCATTAATTCTGATTAAAACTTGAAAAAAAATCAATCTAACTTCAGTTCATCAAAATCCTGATTCCAGGTAAAAATTTCTTACATGACATACGAGAACATCTTACCCGTCTGAATCCAAAGCTTGAAAGCAGAACAACTGCTGCCCAATTTGGTTCTGACTCGGATACCACGTGACATTCCTGAAGAAGATGCCTCCATGGGAGCTTAATGGTGTCAGTTGCATTCCAAGTGGAGAGCTTGTGGTTATCTCAACAATACTTAGAACATTGAGAAAAGAGTCTAGGTTAACAGCAAACATAACAAGACAAGTATTGTGCCTTTGGATATGTTTTTGTATAAACAGTTCATAGATGTAAAAGGTAAACTCAGATGCCCTAAAATTGTAACCTTGGAATACTTACTGTTTACTAACGTTCGGAAGCCGCACCTCAATGACTGCTTTGTATACTGACCCAATCTGAATCTCTGAGCATTCACCATTTTGAGGTGTGGAAGCAGTAAAAACAGGTATGTCTTGACAAGAACCAGATCCAACGCCTATTATGACAAGAAACTGCAGTGGCACAGCACTGAATGGTCTGATGTTGTTGAAGTTTGTGGTTCCAGCTGGAAAGTCTTCCAAAGTTAAGGTTACTACGTATGTGCCCGATGCTCCAAGTCCACCTCTGTAAGTTAAAATGCAGTTTTTCTGCAAAGAACGTGTTATTTAGATACATCAAGCAAGTTAAGATTATCCGACCTCAAGGTGCCATACTGAGATCTCACTAGTATTAACAAGAAAATCACAGTGTGCTTTTTGATCCTTCTTTCTTTTACGTGTTGATGTCATTCATCAAGAATAAACAAGACTAAATTTCTTTTTTCTCTATGAAGCGTTATCCATATTTTTGTCATGGAAGTAATGGAAGAATCTTTTAGGGTCTTAAGTTGTGATCATCCTAATTTACAAGGTTTAAAATTTTCTCACGTTTTTATAAAACAAGGGAAATAACACAATTAGAGGGCATAAATGTACCTCATCAAGTTCACCGTAAGGAAAACTATCACTTGGTATGGAGGATTCGGCGCTAGTTGCCCAACGACATTTCACAAAATCGCCATCCGGATCTTCAACTGGAATTGTAAGAGACTTGTGACAGCCCTGTTGAAACCGTACAATAGCTGGGCTCTTGGAGACTGGGGATGAGTTGATTTTGCCGCTGTCAGATCGTCTAGAGAGACTTATTTTGGTGGATACCGACCATTGTGAGTCAGCATATCGCACAAGATTGGAAATCCAACAGCAACTTTGGTATCTGTCGACGAGACAAGAAAGGGATGTTTTTGAAATACACTGAGACTGCTGAAAGTTATCTTGATTTGGGAAGACAGGCCACCACATCAACGAACCTGAATATGTGAAAGCCTTATACATTAGTCAGTGCACTAACCAAAAAGTTAACAGGAATGGAAGAAAGGAGTAATCGAGGGACTGAATATTGAAGTGATGGATAGAAGAAGATAATTTCGGGTCATAACAACAACTTGGTAACGGCTTTCAGCCGTTATAATATTTGGAAAACCACCCCAATGTTGAAAGATAATTTTGGTAATTATAAACGGCTCTTGTTTGTTCGAGGCTTTCTGTTGCCTTTAAAGTGAAACATTCTTAAAAAGTCAGTTTTCACTTGTTTCTTTTCCTCTTAATTCACATATTGACCCACCTCACATTCCACTCCAGATTGCCAGACGGAAAAGTATAGGTGAAGTTATTTTCCCCCATTGACCAGTCTTCATTGCGACTAAAGTCAGTACAACGAAAACGAGTGTCCGCGATATAATAGCTCGGTGAACACACTGCACTGAATGGATCGCTACACTTTGCTGTCCAAGAACCTCCAGATCCAATAATTCCTCCTAAGTTAATTGTGTTTTCATCACAGTAATATGAATAATATGACCTTCGAAGAGCCAGACGGAAGGTAAACCGTAGCTGGAAAGTAAATAGAAAGATATCATACAAGTTTTGGTCTTCTCTAAGACCTTTAAGTAACGAGTATAATTATATTTGATAGAATCACATGCACACGTAAATGGCAAGCTATTTTATGCTAACGATATTTCATAATGACTTTGTCATGTTAGATGGTCAAAGCCCATTATCAAGTTTAAAAAAAAAACAAAATAAGTAAAACCGTGATATCGATGGAACGTAACGCATAAAGAAAAATTAATTAAGGAACAGTATCTCACTTATATAGCCATGCCAAACAGACTCTTACTGCCACTACACCCGTGGGTGAAGCAGTTCAGGTTCAAGAAGGCAGCGTTGTATTTTCTTCTCCAAGTCCTGAAGGTTTCTATAGCCGTTAGTCCCTGTACAAATTTTGTGAAGACGTCTAATTATTTTAACTCTATAGCAATTGTAAATTGTTTTCTTTCCTGAAAACGGAAAGTGTCAATGAATTTATGTCATCGATGCATTTTGATGAAGGGGGCACTTTCATTCTTCAAATGCCCTTCCGGTTACATGACTTTTCTCAAAAGACAGGTTTTCAAATGTGCTTCATACACACAGTTGCCCTCGTCAGACTCTTTGTCGTGGAAAGTTTGAAATATGCCTACGGTAAAAAAGCGGAAAAACTGGAATGTTAACCAAAAGTGGGAGGAAGTGGTTTAGGGCGCTTTGGCGTCTGGAAGGTAAATTATGAAAATGAATAAATAATTACAAAAACCGCAGTCTTTCTAAGAAATGGCCACAGTTGGTTGCGTCAGATAGGATATAGCGTGATTCTTTCTTGGTTGAGTATATCGTGCTTAAAAAAGTAAAAAAAAAACTTTTATATAATTCAAGCAGTTGCAATGAAAAAGAGCAGGATTAACTCCGACGCGCTTTATAGCAAACGGCCGTTGAAAATTAAGCCAAATCATGGCTTGATAATAATTCTCTTCCGTATACGTGTGGAGAAACTTATGAATATGAACGAACAACCAGAGAAACAGCTGGCTGAGCCAAAAGAAGAGCGAGGAAGCAGGAATAGTAAAACGCACAGTTTGAAGCTCGATAACATGCTGCTCCCTACTCGCTAAGAGATTGTAATGTTAAAAAGTCACTGAATTGTGCCGTACACTTCACTGAGAGGTGATCCAACAGATGAAAAAAAAACTATTTAAGCAACTATTGTTAAGACTTGCTGCGCACACACACTAACAAAAAAAAAAACAAACAAGAAAACTAATTTTGATTAACCCTGGCATACAAAAGCAGTTTTTTCTTTTCAAGATACAAGTATAAAAACACAAAGCCAACAAAGGTTCAATCGTTTAAAAATTTCATCAATGGCTATAGGAAAACACTTAGTAAAGAGCGTCAATCATGTAAACTGTCTCAGTGAAAGAGAGCAGATCACGGTAGTTCAGAAATATGTAGCATCCATTTTAATTAACAAAGCGCAAAGAGCCATAAAAAGAAAAGGGGATGACAAAATAAAAACTTATATGCGAACTGGTTCGAGGCATTCGAATGCCATTGAAACCAAATCACAAAATATAGCAATAATGCAACATACTACTGATATTTTATCAAAAAAGAAAAATACGCCCATTGAAGTTGGACTCAATGCAGGAAGCAAATTTCCTTTAATACCAAGATACATAAAGCCCAAAATTCTCTATTGATAGCCTGGAGTCAGCTTTGTTAAATGTTCCGACCTGGGGCATGCCTTCTTCAGCAGTAAACGGAGGAGCCATGACTAGAAAGGTAAATACCGCCACATGGAGAAGAGGGATATGCTTGTTTGTAACGTGCTTTACTTGATCGCAGTTTTGTCTCCTAACAACCAAAAACTTACAGTACTGTTTGGTGAAGCTTTTTCACGATTCCTATTTCCAGAGCTTTAGCTGTGGTGAAATTTATTCAACGCACATCAGTAAATGCTTCGGAGAAAACCTTCATTGGCAATTATGCATTTGCAATGTTTCGTTTACAAACTGAAGAAAAAAACGAGCCGCACACATGTAAAGGCAAGTTCATCAAATTGAACTTCAACCTGTACCACCAAGGTTTTATATACGACATGCAAAACGGTAGACAACAAATATCTGAAATTAGCTCAGTAGCGTGCAATTAAGGACCATACCGTGTTGTTATCAGCATCTGTCGGAACAAAGCTCATGACGGCATGTCTGAAGTGAGACCCTTCCACTAAAAACGACCATTGCACGAACACCAGTAAGCAAAGAAGGCGCGTGAACGTATAAGGTGTCATCTTGGGTAAGCTTCCGTTTCAATTGACCCACTCCAAAAGAAATTATCATATAACTGCTAAATCGATTTCACCAGGCACGCTATGCATGAGCCTAAGTTAAATCATGTCAATTAAGATTACTCGGGCGTATCCAAGATAATGAAAGGTCTCGAAGCCATTCATTACAAATAGTATCATTTCTCGAGAAAGTAGGGATGTTCATTTAATGTTTTGTCATGTTATTAAAGTATAGTAGTTTAAGGCACAAGCTAAGAAATCACTTACCAAACGTAGACCTATTAGTTACTTCAGCACACTTTGAATGAATTAAGTTACCCTAGCATGAAACCTCAGAGTAGGTCTGTTAACTAACGAGCCGATTCATTTCTTGCATAACAACACATTACGTGGTTATTACAACTCATATTTTGCTTCTGTTCAAACACGAGTGAAGAGAAAGCTCGTGATAAATATATTTCACAACCCAAGAGAATGCAATAAAGGTAGTTTGGCGCACACGCATAGCAATAACCTCTTTTCTCCTCATGGCGTGGGCATTACTCACATGCCTAGTGCGTGAGAACATTGTTGCCACAGTTCGGAAATTCATATTAATTAGCTTCAGGAAGCAAGTTTTAATTTCAGCTGCACATAAACTCAAGGCTTTTTTGACCGTCATATTCCAGAGTCTTGAAATCCTATAAATCATATAGGTAACTTGTTCCCTATAATTTATATTTTTGGAATATGAAAAACCAACTGCACCTGGTGTATCTACTTGAGACGAGCGCCTACTGTAATTAAACAGTTTTGTTGAGTCATGTCCAACGCTTTGTCTGAAAATAGGCATTAGAGTGGGGGAAATCGGGGGAAAAGGGTCCCTAGCAATTCATAGCTCGATCGAGAAAACTAAGTGTAAGTCTAAACCATCAGACCGTAATGAGCTGTTTTTAAGACCCCACTTCTTGAAAGGTAAAGACTTAAGATAAACTCGCACAGTCAGGCAGTTTTAATGAGATATGCAAATTGTGTGCTTTTTGATTTAATACACTTTGACCTTGCTATGCAAAGTGATCTTAATCTGCGTTCTCTGCATTTTTCTTTCACTGTTCACCTTTATATCTTCATTTCTGTTCACCTTCATACCTCCACATCTTCATATCAAGTCGTCATGATACATAAACATTTAAACTTGATACAACATTGAAGAGTATTGCCTACTACTTTGCAAATTTTCTTAGTTAATTTAGGAGAACGGGACTCTTTATTGAAAACATCACACGCACCCAACGTACAATGCAGAACGTCCTTCAAAAGTTCCTTTAGATTTATTTCACTTTTTAGAGTACTTCACAAGTCTGGGAATAAACACAGCTGATTGGTCTTAACCAACAGCTTTCTTGAAGATGATTGATTTCCTTTGTGTTGCTGATTCAGTGAGCGTTTCAAACTTGACTTGTGACCTGATATTTCTTTAATTGTCTTGAAAACAAGACTTTATCACGAAACCTACTTAATATAATTGACTTCCATTACTTTAAAAGCGTCTTCCTAAATATCGACAACTATG